CAACGTGCAGGGCCTTAAGGACAAGGACGATGAGGAGGATGTGGATGATTTTGATGGGTTTTCCGAGACCCAAAGTCAGTTTGGACAGTGGGATTTTGAGGTTTGCTCTCAATTTCTTCTCCTTATTGTTGATGTTTGGTTGGACTGTGGAAAATTTGAGGTTTGCTCTCATTTTCTTCTCTCTATTGTTTATTGGAGACTAAAGGTATTATCTTTCTGATGTTGCTGTTCGTGGCAGGCAATATGTTGGTTGGTTACTTTTGTTTTTGTTTTTGATTTGGTGATGAAACCGAGCTTCTTATTGATTGCCTGTTTTAAGTATGAGTGTTCTGCCCTTTGGTTTATATATATGTTATGTGGTGCAATTTTCATTTTTGATTAGTAAGGATTAGAGTGGCTTTAGTATATGCTTGCAAATTATTTTGTTCTGTGAAAGGGATGAATGGTAATTGAAGTTCGTGTTTGTTAGTTCGTCTCGGACATTGCGATTGTCAATCTAGTGCTATTGAAGTTGTGAAAGTTCCTTTCTTTCTATATTCACTTTGGGCTTTGTTTCAAATAAACCGACTCTTTGTTCATTAAATAGGATAACATTGATGAGGAAGACGAAAAGTTGCTGGAAGCTTTCCTATCAAAGGATGATCGCCCTCAACGCATGCTGGCTGATGTTATAGTTGAGAAAATTAAAGAAAAAGATGCTCAAGTTTCAGGTTTGAGGTCTTTTTTCATTTGTTATCAATTAATTTCCTGATCCTAGTTAGCATTCCAAGCCAGGATGTGAAACGTTTAATATATATTAAAGTTTATTTATAGTCACAATCCATGCCAATTCATTATTAAAAAACTCAGTTTCTTCTGTTATCAGTTTTCTGTATGTTGGTGGGGTGCGAGTTGTACTTGTAGTGTATCTAAATTATAAGAAACACTCAGTCTGGTGTCTTTTCTTGGTAGGTGTGCAGCCAATGCCAAAATTGGATGACTCAATCATAGAGCTGTACAAGGGCCAAGGGGTATGACAACAATTTTGAAAATCCAATTTGGGCATAATGTCCATTTTCTATTCTCATGCTTGTATTTATGGAATACGAACACTGGTTTTTTTTTAAGGATATTGGGTTGCGCTTGCGTATGGATATTTGCAGGGAGGGTTGGGAAGCTGCTCAGTAAGTACACCTCCGACAAGATGCCAAAAGCTTTCAAGCACATAACTTTTGTGCAATTCTGAGAGGAAGTCTTGTATTTGACTGAACTTGAGAAGTGGTCGCCAAATGCAATGTACCAAGCAACGAGAATATTTGCTTCAAATTTGAAGGTCAAGAAGGTCGAGCGTTTCTACAGGCTTGTCTTGCTGCCACGCGTGAGAGAAGATATTCAGAAGAATAGAAGGCTGCATTTTGCCCTGTATCAATCCTTAAAAAAGGCTCTGTACAAACTAGCTGCTTTCAATAAGGGAATCTTGTTCCCATTGTGTGAGGTATATTAGTTTCTGAAGTTTAGAGGGAGTTTGCGATTACGTATACCCGCTTTGGTTTCTAGCACATTTTCGTTTCTCAATATTGATTTTTATGGTTGTGCATTTTTATCTCAATGAGTTGAGTTTCTTACAATGTTGTTATTAATCTTGTATCGGTGTGTATTTTTAATGTTCTGTTAAGAACATGCACTTTGAGGGAGGTTGTTATTGTCGGGAGCATCATCGAGAAGATCTCCATTCCTCCTCTTCATTCGAGGTATAAAGTGGCTGTTGACCTTTACCCAATTTTCTTTTGGAAAGCTCTTTAATCCATTTGGGTATTACTACTAGAAAAGCCTTGCCTTTATTGCCATTGAGTTAATCTCTTTCTCTGATTGCAGTGTTGCACTACTGAAGCTTGCAGAGATGGAGTACTACGGTACAACGAGGTATTATTTTTTATAGAACTCTTAAGGCATGCTTGTTTACAAATAAATTCGTTCAACATGAATTTTTTCATTTAACCAGGGTTAATTTTGAATAAGTTGGATGGTTAATCGTTAGTGGGATTTTGATTTTATATTAAAATAACTAAAGTTGATTTGATGTAAAAGTAGAAGGGAAATTGTGTGAAGTGATAGTTAGTTAAAATTATGTAAGTTGATGAATTGTGAGTTAAAGTTGATGCGATTTGTAATAATATTCTGGATAGTTGAGTTTAGTTAAAGTTGAGTCAAGTTTTGAGTATGAATTGAATGTGAATGAATTATTTTGTAAACAACATGCTCTTAAAGTTTATGTGAATGATAACGTGCCAAATAGTTTCATATCTTTGCCGAGATTTTCTCCGCTTCCAACAGCAGCTTGTGATTTAGGAAAAAAATAAAAGAAGATGAAGTTACTTTCATCTGTTTCATCGTTAACTAGGGTAATGTAATTAGTCAGACGAAAACTCTCATTAGAAAGAACTTTTTTTGAGACCGCAATTTGTAATGGATTTAACATTCGAGATCTTTTTGTGCAGTTATTTCATAAAGTTATTGATTGAGAAGAAATATGCACTGCCATACCGTGTGCTCGATGCTTTGGTTGCTCATTTTATGAGATTCTACGAGGACTCGAGAGTAATGCCTGTGATCTGGCATCAGTCACTTCTTGCCTTTGCACAAAGGTTCTTTTTATCCTCTCCGTCTTTTTTTCACTTATCATGTTTGCCTTATATATATCATTCAATTTTTATTGCCCATTGCATTGTGTTTATAAGGGAAACAGTTAATTCTTGTAAATGATTGTGATTAGTGATTTCTATCAATCATGAAATTTTATCTTTAAGACGAAAGCAACTAATAAGAACTTTGCTTCCATGAGAAACTGCAAGAAGATGATGGGAAATTTACATATATTTCTTTTTCCTTTCCTATTACCTTCCCGAGTTTTTTTTTGGGACTGGAAAGAAACATATCATTAAGAATCAAACAGAAACTAAGTCAGTACACATAAGTTCCTTAAAATCTATTTGTTGTACTGTATTATTATGTATTATTATGCTCAGGTACAAGAATGAGTTAACAAAGGAGGACAAAATTAGTCTCAACTCTCAACACTTTGGTTCAAAGGCAAAGGCATAAATTGGTAAAAGATTGATGGCCTACCTGTAACAAATAACTTTTTTTGTATTTGATGTTATAGTGAATAAATCGAAGGTAGCAACTTCATTACCCAATGCTTCATTTTGTTTTTGAAGCTCATGTTGCAATGTCTTTTGAGAAAGTGTGGATTCTATCGAATCCAATCTCTCCTTCAAGGTATCGTACTGAGATACCAAGGTATCGTACTGAGATACCATGGTATTGTACTGAGATACCATCAGAGATTCCATCTTGGCTGTTATTTCCTTCATTATTCCCCTTAAATCGGTATCCTCCGTCTCTGCGCTCCCGTCTCTCTCCTCGCAAAAATCTTTAATTACAAGCCGCTGGGCTTCCACGACATCTTCTTCCCTCATTGGAATCTTGAAATGACGTGCCAAATCCGCCACTAACTTACCAAAAGACGGGGAAAACCTATCCGATGTCTGAATACTAGCCACACTGACAATTTATTGGTTATTGGTTTCTCGTGCATCGCACACTGAAGGATAAAGAGTTGTCTCTTGCTCAACTTTTTAGATTCCTTTTTGTCAAACGCATTATAACTTAAAAATTTATGGACTATAGCTACTGCAGGATCTTTAATAAACCTACTTTGTATGTCTCCTTTTGGCTTCGGACAGCCAGTGATCTCCAACCAAGCGTTCTTTACATTAAACCCTTTCGGAGGTGCTTCAGCTTCTGTAGATACAAAACCGAATATTTGATGCCTCAAACGACGTCGATCGTCCTCCTTTTGTCTCCAAGGCGACACACGACATCCGTACCATTTTTAGCAAATTTGAATGTTGTATAAAATTCAAAAGTCAAGCTCGTATAAGCTTCAACATCCATCTTCGCGTAGTCTTCCAAATGAAGAAATTGCAAATACTTTTTCACATTGGCGACTATTTCGGGTTTTTCACTCTAGCTGAAGTCCAACACAACAGGGGGTAAGACGCAAATTGGAGAGTCGCGTGTAAATGCGCTCGGCTGGGCTTATTTACACGCGACTCTCCAAGTTCAGCGTCTTACCCCCTGTTGTGTTAGACTTCAGCCAAAGTGAAAAACTCGAAATAGTCGCCAATGTGAAGAAATATTTGCAATTTTTTCATTTGGAATACTACGGATGGATCTTGAAGCTTATACGAGCTTGACTTTTGAATTTTATACAACATTCAAATTTGCTAAAAATAGTACGGATGTCGTGTGTCGCCTTGGAGACAAGAGGAAGACGATTGACGCCGTTTTGATGCATCAAATATTCGGTTTTGTATCTACGGGAGTTGAGACACCTCCGAGTGGGTTTAATGTAAAGAAAGCTTGGTTGGAGATCACTGGTTGTCCGAAGCAAAAAAGAGACATGCAAAGTAGGTTTATTAAGGATTCTGCAATAGCTATAGTCCAGAAATTTTTAAGTTATAATGTGTTTGGCAAAAAGGAATCTAAAAGATTGAGCAAGAGACAGCTTTTTAGATTCCTTTTTGTCAAACGCATTATAACTTAAAATTTATAGACTATAGCTACATTAGGATCTTTAATAAACCTACTTTGTATGTTTCCTTTTGGCTTCGGACATCCAGTAATCTCCAACCAAGAGTTCTCTACATTAAACTCTTTCGGAGGTGCTTCAGCTTCTGTAGATACAAAACCGAATATTTGATGCCTCAAATCGGCGTCGATCGTCCTCCTCTTGTCTCCAAGGCGACACACGACATCCGTACCATTTTTAGCAAATTTGAATGTTGTATAAAATTCAAAAGTCAAGTTCGTATAAGCTTCAAGATCCATCTTCGCGTAGTCTTTCAAATGAAGAAATTGCAAATACTTCTTCACATTGGGGACTATTTCGGGTTTTTCACTCTAGCTGAAGTCCAACACAACAGGGGGTAAGACGCAACTTGGAGAGTCGCGTGTAAATGCGCTCGGCTGGGCGTATTTACACGCGACTCTCCAAGTTCAGCGTCTTACCCCCTGTTGTGTTAGACTTCAGCCAAAGTGAAAAACTCGAAATAGTTGCCAATGTGAAGAAGTATTTGCAATTTTTTCATTTGGAATACTACCCGAAGTTGGAACTTGAAGCTTACACGAACTTGACTTTTGAATTTTATACAACATTCAAATTTGTTAAAAATGGTACAGATGTCGTGTGTCGCCTTGGAGACAAGAGGAAGACGATTGACACCGCTTTGATGCATCAAATATTCGGTTTTGTATCTACGGGAGCTGAGGCACCTACGAATGGTTTAATGTAAAGAACGTTTGGTTGGAGATAACTGGTTGTCCGAAACCAAAAAAGACTTGCAAAGTAGGTTTATTAAGGATCCTGCAGTAGCTATAGTCCAAAAATTTTTAAGTTATAATATTTTTGGCAAAAAGGAATCTAAAAGATTGAGCAATAGACAACTTTTTATTCTTCAGTGTGCGATGCACGAGAAGTCAGTAAACTGTCTTTCCTTTATATGGGCCAGTGTAGCTAGTATTCAGACCTCGGATAGGTTCTCCCCGTCTTTTGGTATGTTAGTGGCGGCTTTGACACGTCATTTCAAGAGTCCAATGAGGGAAGAAGATGTCGTGGAAGCCCAGCGACTTGTAATTAAATATTTTTGCGCGGAAAGAAACGGGAGCACAGAGGCGGAGGATACCGATTTAAGGGGAATGGTGAAGGAAATAGTAGCCAGGATGGAATTTCTGATGGTATCTCAGTACGATACCTTGAAGGAGAAATTGAATTCGATTGAATCCACACTTTTTCAAAAGGCATTGCAAGATAGCTTCTGAAACAAAAGGAAGCATTGGGTGGTGAAGTTGCTACCTTGAGACTTGATCTGCAGCAAGTACAAGATGAAGTTGCAACATACAAAGAATGGATTGGAAAGTCCATTCCCGAGTTACACAGCTGGCAAACTAAAGCAACTGAGGTACATTTTGAAATACTAGTATGTGATGAACAATCACACATGCATTAACAAATTAATAACATCTCCTTTGTTAAATTTGCAGTCGACATGTTTGTCTCAAAGTGAGCAGATAAGAAGATTACAGAAGCAGCTTGCTGTCTCGAAGGTCTTTTGATGTGATTCTGTTTTTTGTTGTGTTTCTTACTAACAGAACCGTGGTGGCATTGTTAGAATTAGTATTGAGGCCAATTGATCTGAGTTGGAGGAACAGAAGACAATCAATTTTGAGTTGCAGAATCGTCTTGTAGAAAATCATTTTGGAGAATATATTATATACCACAATGTGGCAATATCTTGTCTTTCTGTTCTTCCATTGAGCATGATTTCTTTCTGATGGCAGGAGTTGAAAGGGAACATCCGTGTCTTTTGTAGAGTGAGGCCCTTTTTGTCCGATGATGGAGTCGGAAACAATGCTAAAGTTGTCTCATTTCCAACGTCACCGGAACATTGGGACGAAGCATTGATTTGGCACACAACGGTGAGCATAGTTGTTGAAAGTTTTTATTTGTGTGCCTTGGATATGAGTAATCTTTGCTTTACTGAATTTCACATTACTTGACAATAACTTATCAGGGCAAAAGCTTTCTTTCACTTTCGATAAAGTGTTCATGCCCGATGCTTCTCAGGAAGATGTTTTTGTGGAGATCTCATAGCTTGTTCAGAGTGCACTTGATGGCTATAAGGTCATAATCCCAATGAACTCTTATATTGACCCCTGATAATTTAGAAGTATATAAGTTCTGGTTGATGACACTGGTTTCTACAGAACCAAAGTAATTTCAATAAACCTTTTTCTGCTAATGAACATCATCCTTCCTGCTTTGAGATATTGCAAGCAATTGATATCCGTGTATTCCTTATTTATTATTATAATCTCGAGCCATTTTTTAATAGTTACATGGTTTGCAGGGGGTTACATGGTTACATGGTTCGTCAAGCCCAAGGATGGAAGTATGATATGCGGGTACATGGAGAATTTCTCCTATTTACTATGTTATTTTTGGCTCAGTGAATTCACTGTTACCTTTTTTTTTCAGATTTCAATGCTTGAGATATATAATGAAACGATTCGTGACTTATTAGCACCAAATAGAACATGCTCTGATGCCTCACGAGCAGAAAATGCTGGAAAGCAATATGCAATCAAGCACGATGCCAATGGAAACACTCAGGTTTTTGATCTAACTGTTGTGGATGTTCAAAGTAGCAAGGAGGTTTCTTATCTCTTGGAAAGAGCAGCACAGAGCAGGTAGCTGGAATTACTTGAATTTTTTCAACCCTTTGTTACTTATTGTTGTATCACTCTTAATACCTTACAACTTTTAGAATCATTTTGAGAGGTCAATCTTCCAAATTCACTGATCCAAGACATTGATGTTTTGATTTTTATGAAATTTAAGGTCTGTAGGCAAGACTCAAATGAACGAACAGTCTTCAAGGAGTCACTTTGTCTTCACATTGCGAATAATGGGTTTTAACGAGGTATACCTAGTGTTTCTCGACTCAAACTTATTATATTTTCTTTAATTACAGCCGCAACTTACAAAATACTATTTGCTTTTGTTGTGTTACTAGAACACCGACCAACAAGTGTGTGTCCTTAACCTGATTGACCTTGCTGGTAGTGAGCGTTTGTCGAAGAGCGGATCTACAGGGAATCAACTGAAAGAAACTCAGGTAAGATGGATTTTTCCAAATTCATCGAAAAGAATTGTTCTCTTTTAGAAGAATATGTTTGTTTACATTAGAAGTATCTTGCTTTCTCTCTCACTTGCTAATCTTTTGAATGCACTTTACCTAGGCCATCAATAAGAGTTTATCATCATTAAGCGACGTTATATTTGCTTTGGCCAAGAAGGAAGAACATGTGCCTTACAGAAACTCCAAGCTAACCTATCTTCTCCAGGTATAGTTGTTTAACTGAGGAAAATACTTGGGTTTTAGAGTATTTCGTGGCTTTTACACCTAATTAGAGTAATTATGAAAAGCTTCTTCTTCATGACTATAGCTTGGAGAAGCAGAACTTTTCTCTTTCTTCTCTTGAGTTAGGTTGATGAAGTTAAAGAACTTCGCGTCTGACATTTGTAGCTATTTTTTCTCTAATTTGAAGGTCAGCTAATATGAAGTAAAAAATTTCCTTTTCATATCTGAGTCAATCATCAGACCTTAACTAGCTTAACTAGCTGAAACTGGAATTTTTGCATGTCTGAGTCAGACCATGGCTTTAGCTGTTAGTTTCTTCGATCCGTGCACTGATTTTTTTTAAAACTGAACTCTTTTCTGTTGTCTTCCCAGCCTTGCTTAGGTGGAGACTCAAAGACTTTGATGTTCGTTAATGTTTCTCCGGATCATTCATTAGAGGGTGAATCACTTTGTTCACTTCGGTTTGCAGCTCGTGTGAATGCTTGTGAAATTGGGGTCCCAAGACGCCAAACGAACCTACGATCATAATCAGATTGGTTGATTTTTTTTTTTCCCTTCTTAATGGAACAATAGTTATCTAGATTTAGAAATGTGTGTCGAATTTGTCAAGGCATTTATATGTAACCGATTTACATATGGCGCTTCTAACTGGTTTTCCATTTGTTTCTTTTTCTTTTGGGTAAAGATATATTGCCATTTGTATTGGTTTTCCACAGGCTTTCCAACTCTTGTTACTTGCAAAGATTGAGTATTGTGATGATTAAATCAACTTGAAAGTGAAAGTGGAACTATTTATTGTTTCTGCTTGCCATTGCAGAAAGGGAACCCTTCTAAAACATCTAGGGAATGTGAGATGTGCGTTCTTTGGTATTGTTTTTTGTTAGTGAAAAAAAAAAACTAATTTCATTCGTTTTGAAATAGCTTTGCGCTGCATATTTAGCAAAAAGAAACCTCATATGTGACTAAAAGATTTACCAACATCATGAGATTGATTTTATATTTTTTCTGCTATCATCTGCATCAACATTCTTATAATTTTGGATAAATGGAACTGTAGAAGGACCTCAAGTTTTGTCCATGTTGATTTGGTGAAGTTACTGGCTTTAACAGATAGATATTTGTCTGGTTCTCTAAGTGTCTCAATGTTGGTACCAGGAGGATGTCGTTAAGCCTTTACTTGAAGTCACAAAAAGTGCTCTACTCCATGACTGCACTGTTTTGTGGTTGGAGGTATATTTCCTCTATGCCGTGGTTATCTCATACATAATCCGAGCACTTTTTAGCTTTGCTTTCCCTGCTACACAATACGTGCGTGGCAGAATGTCACCTGGCAAAGTTACTTCAAGGATAATATCTTTTCTTGATTTTTACATTGCGAGTTATAGAAAATATGAGCAATTGAGAAATGGATTCTTTAATTCTTACCCTTGAGCTCTGGGGAAGGACGTACTCAGAAAATTTTCTTTTATTTTAAGCATAGCAGCTCTGTTATAATGATAAGATTTGACAATTTGTCTTCATCGCTTTCATTTTCCAAAACTATGTTACCATTTGTGGATTTTACTTTTTTTCAGGCCGATTTTATAAATTTCTACACTTACTCTTTCTCCAAATTAGTTGTGTGAATTTTATTAAGTTCTTTCTATGTTATGATTTTTTTAGGCATCATAGGAAGTACATTTCACAATGCCTTGTAAAATACGAAGTGGTTTTGTGAGAATATTGTGAACCGATTCATTTTTCATTAATTCGCCTAAGTTCTTCTGGATGCATGGCAGGTAGAGTGCTTGTATTATCCATTTCAAGTTCCATTCAAATGTGCATTTCCTAACACTGTCCCAGCAGGGTGAAAACATGATTGATGAGTCAGTTTCTGGACTTGAGCCCGTAAGTTAAGAAATGATGACAGAAAGGAAATTCCAGAGGGGACCAAAAAGCAAAAGAAAGAGACAAAAGTAACCGTAAAATTTAACCATCGTACTTGTTTGTGAATCTGTATACTTGAGAGTTGCGATACCTTTCCTCATTGCAGTGGTCATTAGTCATGACAATGATAATTTGGAGTTTGAGTTAATTCATATTCGTTCTTGATTGGTGGACGGTTTGTCTTTTTCTTGAAAAAAAAATACAAAAAAGAAATAAAAGTGAGATCAAATGATTCAAATCAAATAATTGATCAGACAGGAGATATTTTATGTCGACAACTTACTCAAAAATCTCTAACTCACTTTTCAACTTCCTCATCAGTCCCTATGTTATTTTTTTTTTCCTTTGAACTCTCTACCCTAAAATCATCTTCCTCTTAACTCCCTATTATTTAAATAAATCAAAAATATATTCAAAGTGACATCATCCACACTACCATTCATCTCATTTTATTATTTTATTATTTTTCTCTCTCTCTACTACTATCTTTCTTATTTTTTTTATTATTTTTTCTTTCTCTCTTTTTCCACACATTTTTTTATTATTTTTTAATCATCTTCTACTATTCATCTTTCCTACTACTTTTTTCTTAATTTTTTTATTATTTTTCTTTTTCTTTCTTTCCACACAATATATAGGTACTAAATTACAACAATATTGGTACTGTCCTACTACATTATAGGTATCATTTTTGTAAATAAATATTTACAGTATATATTCATTTTCATTCATATAAGTATGTATTAACAGACAATATAGAAGTACTGAGTTACTAAAACTCTAGTAATGTCTTACTCCAATGTAGGTATCAGTTTTGTAACTCATTAAAACAAACTATTATGATTCTAGTGTGATGCACGAGTAATAGGTATTCATTAATATTAAAAAAATTAAAAAATTTCACTAAATATATGAAATCAATATGTAATACTACCCCTTTATTAATTTATTTAAAATGTTATATGAAATTTAAATTTGTGCAAAATTATATAAAATATGTGTATTTAAAATTATTACACAACTCGTATGATGTACATAACCGTTAATAATTTACATTTTATGTCATTCGAATTTATGGTGTTCAAATTTATCAACTAATTTTCTATAATTAAATTATATAATTTTAATTTTTTTAAAATTATTTATTCAAATATCTATCTAATTTTCATATCAACTAGTACGATACATGTGTAGTACACGGGTACGTAAATATATTTGTACAATAGATAAACTAAAATAATTTATTTTTATATTATAAAATTATGTATAACGGATATATAACAATTATGAATTACTAACAAAGTAATAATTAATTATAAATGGGGTCCGTATTTTTACACTTAATTTTCTTATTTTATTTAATATCTATGATAAAATGCATTAAAATGATTATTTATGGTGTAATACTGAATTAGGTTTTTATTATTCTTGTTGTAAAATAATTTATGTTGTTGAAATTATTTTTTAATAAATAGAGTTTTATTTTTTATTGATAGATGTATTTATTTTTTATTTTATATATGAAATATGGATATCAAATTGGAGATTATTAAAATATGATTATTTTAACATACAAAAATAACTTCAAAATAAAAAAAATTATAATGATTTAATAATAAAAAGAATACATATTTATTATAATAATTATTATATGTAGTAAATAAGAAAGAGTAAGAGAAGAATATGGTAACTTGAGAAAAAAAAACTAAATTAGTTTATGGTAATTCTCAAGCCTAAAACATAACATGTATGTAGGAATATGCCTAAAATAGTGTATAAATTATCTTATGACAAGTATTAGATAAACTAGTGTTGATATCCGTGCGATGCACGGGGTGCAATAGAAATAAATATTATTACTTAAATATTATAAAATTATTTAAGACAGTATCAAATTCTATTCTCCATAATATCTTATTAAGTAATAATATGACATTTATTTATTTACCATTTTTTTAAATTTATATTTTATATATTCTTTTTTGTTGTTTTTGACTAATTAATATATAAATTTTATTATTTATTAGTTTCTAAAATATTATAAATGTAAAAAATTATATGATATTTGTATAAAAATTACTTGTTTGTACTTATAAATTTACCGTTTATCATTAGTCTTATATTTTTTTAAAAAATTCATAATTTACACATATTGTTTGATAACTGACCAACGTTTAACCCGTAATATTTATCTTCTGCTATAATTATTAAGTGCATTAAATGTTCAAAACTTTGATAAATAAGTTTTAATTTTTAGTAACTTTAATCCTTATGCAACACATAAATTCTTATGGTTAAATATTTTATTTTTATGTTTCATTTTTATTTATATTTATTTCTTTAATTCATTTTTTTTAACCTATATATTTATTATCAAACATCTACCTCTCCACATTATGTTTGAAAGTTATCTATTTGAATGAAGACTATATAGGCTGAAAGGTACCTGTTTGAATGTCAATGGGATGTGAAGTGGCTTCAATCGTTTACTTCACTGCCTATCCTGGTTAAAGTTGTACTCACTGTTGAAGATGGTAAGAACTCAAACACATGATATGCTTTTTCACTAATTTTATTGTGCCATATAAATAAATGCTCATAATTATTTATTCTTTGTCATGAATACAACAAGGATCTCCATTCAGAATGGTGCGACGGGTATTATTGTGTCTGACCACGGTGCTCGTCAGCTGGATTATGTCCCTTCAACTATCCAGGCTCTTGAAGAGGTACCCAATTTATGTTAAAAAGGTTTTAAAAAATATTCGCTCGATTTTCGTCTGATCATTTGTCGAACATCAGGTTGTGAAAGCTGCACAAGGCCGAGTGCCAATATTCTTGGATCGTGGGGTTCGTCGTGGCAGATGTCTTCAAGGCATTAGCACTGGAGCCTCTGGAATCTTCGTAAGTCGTATCACAATAGTTACACTTCGCAAGTGAGAATTCTTGTTCTCCATCAAATCTACAAATAAGCAAATGATCATTACTCAAGATATTCTAGAATGCTTATGATTGTAGTTTTTATGCCCGTCCGAACCTTTTTTCCATTGAAATGAATTTGTTTTTCGTCATTAGATTGGGCGACCTGTCGTGTTCTCGTTGGCTGCTGAGGGAGAAGCCAACATGAGTAAAGTGCTCAAAATGTTGCGGGACGAGTTTGAGCTGACCATGACACTAAGTGGCTGCCGCTCGTTGAGTGAGATTACTCTTAATCACATCGTGACCGAATGAGATGCTCCACAGGCGCTTCCTGTTGCCCGGTTGTAATGTTCTCAAGCGAGGCGGACCTTTTCGAGATTTGGGATTCATTTATATTGATACTGGAGATGAAAAGCTTTTGAATGATGATGGATTATGTGTTTTTGTTGATGTGCAAATAAATCTATCTCTGTGTTCTGTTGGTATACTATTTTTTATTCATGCGCAATAGTTTAAGTTACATTTGACCTTTGAGTATAAGTTATTTCATTGATTGTTATTGATTAATCCCCGTATTCCTACAATCCATTTCAAGAAATATAAATTCCATAATTCTTATCCAAGTTTCACTAGAATTGTTTCTACAGTGAGAACTACTTTTGTACTCATGTTACACGAATATTGCAAACACCCTAAAAGTATTTGACATTATAAATTAACATATGTTATTGCTCAATAAAATTAATCACTTTTACTAGTCTAAAAACCTAACCCTATAATATAATTAGGATGTAAACGAGCTCACCTAAACTTTAGCTCGAGCTCCTGATACTCAAACTTGTGTTTGATCTCTTGATAATCGATCTCATGCTCAAGTTGAGTCGAGCACAACTTGTTGAGCTAACGAGCCAATAAATGAGCTCAAACTTGTCGTTGTCGAGATTTATAAATTTTTATAATAATTTTTATTTTCGAGTCTTAACGAGTAGAGATGCCCTAAACTAACAAGCCATAACATGACAAAATAATAATAGATAATAGAGAATATTAATGCATAACATTAAGGCTTAATCAAGTGTGCTATAAATCCAAAATGACATTTTATATTCTAATGTTTTTTACCCTAAAAAAGAAGACATTTCATCATATTATTAATATTCTCATTCATTAAAATTAAGAACGTTATTTTGCTTTTGCTAATACACCCGAAAAGAGATCAACCCACCAACTAATTGGATCTTATATGCTCGGACGGTTGTAAATGCCTCCCAAATTTAGATCAGTCCACACACAGTACACACACTAAACACCCTCCGGCACAGCAAACTACACGCTCCGCTGGTCAACCGCTGTTATTTTCCGACCAGGCGAACGGCCCTTTGGGATAGATTGACGGCCGATATGGAAAATCATTGTTGAGGCTAGTGACCCATCACGATAGGTTCCCGTGAAAACCGTAAGCCCATCCCTATAGAAAATAATAGTAATCGGAAATTCGCTCGTGACCGATCCGCTACTGACGGACACCGACCGGAGCGCTGCCTTGGCACCGTAATCAGGACGGCTGGTTGTATGTTCCAAGCTTCGAAACTCGAATGAGTTGCTAGCCATGTAAAACCCCTGTTTTATATTATAAATTTCTCACCATTATTTGTTCTTGTGTTGAACTTGAATCCGTTGTTACAATTGGCCTTTCGCACGCTTGTAGTTGGTGTAAGTATTCATGGTTAACATGGTTATGTGTCGATCGATGACTAGGTTAACTGATAAGTTCTGCTCATTTGAGCTGAGTTTTTGGTTGATCACATAAATGCTCAGTGGTATAATGTAATACCTTCTACTTGCCTTCTTAAGCTGCATATTTGTTTATCTAGTAAAAGCTGGAAGTTGCTGCTTTTGTTATTGGATTTTGACATGTGCACAAGAAGTGAAGCCATTACTATTATAGTGCTTTCTCAGTTACCGTTACGAATGTGAATTCCTATTTAATCAGCAAACGAGTTTCTTGTGTGTGAGACACTTAAAATATACTTGTAGTGGTTGATTTCTGTTAACTGTGGGGTGGTTGATTTCTGTTAACTGTGGGATTATTTCAAGAGCTTCAGAGTGGTTGCCTCATCCTAATGTGATAACATATCAATGCAATTGTGAACTTTTCTTTTTATTTTTCTTTAAAAAAAATTGCGCATGAAAACTCAGAGAGAAACTGGGGTTGCTTATATTGTCTGACATAGCAATTAGCAAGTATCAATTTCATGTTATCCATGACATATTTACTTCTAGAGGCGAAGGTCCGTTGAGAAAATCAATGCTTTTTCCGATACCTAAAGAAAATGAAGAAATGTTGTTAAACATGTGAAAAGTTTTCTACCTTTTTTCTTACTAGGGAAGGAACCCATATATTCTTCTTTGATTATATTCAGATTAGATCGAAGATTAAGAATTTTATATCTGGATTATCATTTTCTATGTTAATATTTTTTATTTTTTTTTATGGCATCCTATTGCATATAGCGATTCTTGAGCCACCAAACTCGTTATTCTACAAGCTGATTCTTATCTCCCATGATGTAAACCTGGCTAGGTATCTAAGTTAATGATAATAGAACTAGCCATGAGTACTGATTTGGAATCGCCTAGGTTAGGACCGACTTGAAAATAGTGGGAAAAAAAATTGCCAGACCCGAAGGCAAGTTGGATTGGTTAGGGTTGGGCTGAGTTGAATGGCCTCATATTGTATGTCTGTTGGTTAGGATATATCGAGGATTAAACTTAATTTATAGATGATCAATAACAAAAATCCAAACATGATGGTGATTTTCGCTCTTCGAAATTTGTGAACAAGTCCCACAAGGTCTTTCCTTGTATGTTTTTCCTGGTTTTTCGCATTTGAATGATCATAATGTATATATATTTTTTTCTATTACGTGTTCTTAATATATGTCTGTTCTAATAAATTATTTATCTTCTTGTAGTTTTTAAGTCCCTAACATTGGTAAGATGAGGCTTAGCCCATCCTAGTCATATGGTTTTGCATTCTGCGACCTGATGTCACTTATCCCACCGCTTTCTGGGGCCCACAATTTCATTCAGTGGGCGTACATAGTATTGCTATTAGTTGTATTCAAGAATGCCTTTAAATCAGACCCACTTCATCAACAAGAAGCCACCGGTTTAACACAACTCTTTCGAGAATAATATACTCAGAAAGCTAGCTGGTTGCCATTGCCGGTGCTGTAAGATTTAGTTTAATCCCTATTTATTGTTGTTTTTGATTCAGAAGATAAGTAAGATTTGGTAATTCTGCATCACTATGTTTTTATGGGAGTTTTTTTTTTGGCTTATTTTGGAAGCATTTCGTGCATCCTCAATCGGTTTTTGCAGATTATTAACTTTGGCACTTATCTTGTGGGATTTATATGTTTAAAATGTTTCCTTCAGTTTGTGTGGTAGATGTTGTCCCCAGTATGCAATTGATGAATCACTTTTCTGATGTTCAGCTTGACAAAAAACTGAAAATCCTTGTATGACTATGTTCATTAAGAAACAACTGCACTTAGAAACAGTTTTATCCTTCTCATGTAGAAAAATGTTTTTTCTTTTAATTTATTTAGGGACAGAAGATATCCAATGGGGAAGAGAAATCGGGCTGCCGTGGTCGTGCTGGGTGATATTGGCCGTAGCCCCCGAATGCAATACCATGCACTCTCCCTTGCTCGTCAGGTGTTCATCTACCAGATTTGCATGTTTACATACATATACACATTAATTGACAACATCAGTATGTGCTTTCTTTTCTCGTATTTGGACCTTACTGTTCATTGGGGTATCGGATAACGTGTACAGAATAGAGGAAAAAATTATTATAACGATTTGCAATGTTATATCATTTTGATTATGTAAGGACCAATATATCAAATTCTGGAGGTTCCGGAGTTGTCCAATTATTGCTACTTTGTCATCTTTTCTTCATATGTTAAATATAAAAATCTGCAGTAAATGCGAGTTTGCTATATCTTTTTGATAGGGAATATTATCGAGTATCAGTGAAAAATCAAACTTGGGGTTTCACTG